TTGACTCCAGTAGAGTATGGATAGAGCTGGCTTCATACAGGAACTTGTAAGCTCTCAACAGGTTTGGGCTGTATTCCGGGAAAAACAGAATGAGGAAAGACTTTCAAAATTTGTGCAGAGTAGGTGTTTTATGCAGACAAAGTAAGAGAGAATGTGTTATAATTATATGCTGAGAGAACTTATTTGATTGGGTTTATGGATGAAGACTCTGAAAACGATTATTTTAGACACTGTATTGGACTATCATACCAAGCTTTTTAAATATATTTTGTATTTCACTTGCTACAATTTAATAAAACCTAAATAAGCTCAGTACATTCTAGGAAAATATGAATAAAATATGTGGGGTGGTACCTTCTAGAGAAAATTTCTGCTTTGAACTTCTTCAGGCTATGAGTGCAGGGGACCCTCTTAGAATAGCTTATAAACATGTTGTTTTCACATCTTTGTATCTTTGTTCATTCTGTTATCTCTGCTTGCAATGGTTTTTATTCATTCTCTTATTTATAAAATATTTTCTGAGCATCTACTCTATGCCAGACACTATGCTGAGTTTGGGAGATTCAGTGACAGTTCTTTATGCAGGCCATCCTCTTGGCTTTTGCACATGCTATTCCCTCTGACTGTAATGTCCTTCTCATCCTTCAAATTCATATTTAAACATTACCTATTTTAGGGAGCATTCCACAACCCCCTCAATACTGGATTACATGTATTCTCTGCTCCCTTCCATAGCACTTATCATCCTTTATTACATTTGTGTATTTGATAGCTTTCCTACTAAATTACGAGCCACTTGAGAGTAGGGATTCATTTATTAATTATATATTAATTAATAATATATGATTATTATATATAACTCAATATCTATATTAATAATATATAATTCATTTATTTTATATATTAATTTATTACTATATCTTCATTCTGTGGTCCTATATTAAGGTAACAATGGAAACAACTGAGATTATTCAACCTTCTCACCTCTTAAGATGATACCCGTCAAAAATAATAATCATGTTAATGATCATTCATTCGTTCAACCATGCCTGCTATGAGCCACTCACTATCTAAGTGCTGGTGATTCAACAACTGAATTTCCTTCTTTCATGGACTTGTCATTCAAGTAGTAGGGAGAGATGTTTACTCTGTGCCAGATACTGTTCTAAGCATTTTACATGTTTTAATTCATTTAATTCTCACAACAACCCTATGAGGTATATTGATAAACTGTACTGATTTTACAGTGAGAAACCGAGGCCCAAAGTGATTAAGTAACTTGGCCAAGGTTATACAACTGGTGAGTTGCAGACCTGATATTTGACTCAGGTCAACTCACTCCAGAACTTACACTCTTAACCACAGAACCCTTTTCTCATCTGCAAATCCCTTCAAGGATTTTTGCTCTAACTATTCTAAATTACTTAATATGCCTGAATATTCCATGTTGTTATATATTCTCTTGCCTTTGAATATCTTGTTCACTCTTCCTGAAATGCCTCCCTAACCCATATCCTTTAGACCTTAGCCTAGAAGTCACTCGTTCTAGGAAAAACCTTGCTTAATCACCTCTCTCCCCAAAAGACCACTTTAGGTATCTGTCCTCTTCCTTATCATCCTTTATCATAATTTACTGTCTCCCATTCTAGAAAGTGATTTCCAGAAATTTTATTTGTGCTTTAGGCTGTTATGTTTCTAAAAGACTACTTGCGATTTCATGATTTTTGATAGGATACCAGGATAGTACAATTATATACAGAAATTGATGTTGAGACATTACAAAATTCACTACATGATACCTGACAACTTGTTTTACAAACTTGGTAGATTCAGTGTATTTCAGAAAATATGCTTTCTTAACTCTTTAGTTAATGGTGTGCTTGTTAGGAAATATATTTTGACAGATTCATTGAGTTGTCCAAGATCATACAGCTAGTTAGTGAGAGTGTTGGGCGCAGAAGTGAACACAGGTCTGCTGTTTCCCAATCCCAGGCCTTTTTTCTTTTTATAGGCACCTTGCTGACATTAATTCAATTCCAATTAAATTTGGAGATACTGTCTCAGCACAGATCAACCCATCTCTTCTAAAAGCCAGTGATTTCCAAAAAATAAATGAGTAACCTTAAAAGACACCAGAAAAATCACTCTTCCCTCCAAATATTGTCCTTACTACTATGTTTTAGAAATTTCTAAATTATAGTTTTATAGTGAATTAACCACACATTCCACACTTTATAGCAACTAGTTGTTCAGATTATTTGTGACATGACAGTTAACTCAAAAAAGCTTTTGAAAGAAGGGAGAGTATATGTAACAGAGTATACTGAATAAGGAGGACAGATATAGTTGAAAGTGTTGTAGAAATAAATTAGGGGATCAGTGAAAACTATCATAGGGCTTTAGAACATAAAGGAGTCTTAGTCAGGGAAGGATTTACAGAGAAATTAGGACCTGAAGGTAGAAAATGAATAAATATATGTAATTCATGTGGAGGATACATATGGTAAGCTGGACTGGTAGCCATGTGCATTGGTATCTGAAAAGAGTGAAACATTCAACTTGTCTTATGTTGAGGAGAGAAGTGGAATGTATATAGTTGGAGAACAACTTGATTGACAGGCAAAGTAATTTAGACAGTGCTCTAGGAATTAGAAATAAGTTTTTGAACAAAGGAATAAAGTGTGAAAATAAGCCACATTTAAGGAAAGTATATATTTGGCGCATATCTGTTCAAATTTAAAGCTGGACTTAAAAAAAATAAAAGGATTCAAATTAAAATCATCTCTTCCTTCTCCTACAGGCTACATTAGAGTGATAACAATTTCTTAATACTCATATCTACTGTTCTTTGAGCACTTACTATATGCCAGACACATGATAAAATTTTTAAATGCAAGCCCTTATTTAATGTATGAGAAATATCACAATCCTGTGAAGTAGGTACTATTGCTACCTCCACTTTAAAGATGAAGAAACAGGATCTCGAGAGGTGAATTGATTTTCCCAAAGTCAGATAGCTCACAAGTTGAGGAGCAAAAATGTGAACCCTGATCTGTTTGACCTGAATCTAGTTAGTACAACTATTGCACATAGCTGACGTGCAACAAATACCTGTTGAATAAATGGGTGAATGAATATATCAGTAAATCTATCCTCTTCTGCAGATGACCCTACATATTAGCTTTAATGGTTTTCATGATCTTGATAAACTTAGGTCAGTGTTAAAAGTAAAGAAGAGGTTTGAGCTACAAAAGAGAAGAATTTACATAGGAAAATCTCTTGATTGGAATTTCTGATTGCGTAGAGATATGGTTTTGGTTAGAAATTATGTATATATATATGTGTGTGTGTACACACAAACACACAGATATACATGTATATATGTATTTGAGTGTGTGTGTAAACATGTGCATACATACACATCAACAGAACAGTTTGGATCACCTTTGACACACACGTACATGCACATGCAGACCCACATGCTTTCTTTTGTTTTCTTAACCCTCCTGAAAGGGTGTAAATAATAGAATGTCAGAGCTAGAAGGGACTTTAGCAATTGCCCAATCAGATGCCCTCATGTGAATGTAGAGATTGAGGCACTAGAGGGAAAGTAAATTGCAAAGGTCACACAAGGAGTTAGAGTAGATTAAGAATTTGAGTTTCCTAACTCACAGGTTTGTTTTACTTTGAACTGTCACCATTTACCATCTCAGTTTTATAGATGGGGTAACCAAAGTATCCTAAGAATGTTGATGGTCAAGCTCCTGCTACTTGTCCGTTGAAGCAGGACTTGAAATCAGATCTCTTTTATTTTAAATATGAGGCTTGTTTGCATTCAAGTGCTTCTTCTGGATGCCCAGAAGGAAGACCTTTTCCTATTGAATTAAATAGTGGACTGAAGATAATTTCCAGAAATCTCTGTCCTTCACTTTAAGAGAAAATGGCCAAAGCTGCTTTATTTTCAGAAGGCTGGCAGTCCCAAGGAGGCTCCATGAAGGCAGGGATTTTGTCTTCCTGATTGAATCCACAATACCTAGCACAAAAGGAGGCACGCAAAAATATTTGTTGGATATATAACATACTGAACCCACAAAGGGAAAGTAATGGTTCCCCAATGAATGATGGATGGATAATCATTATTAGTGCTGAAAAAATGGGGATGACTGTGGAAAAGAGGAGGGAGAAACCGTTAAACAAAGGAGAAGCTCTGTGTCTCTTTAGCTGATTGAAGCTGCAATCACTCAGCAAGGGCTGAGTGGCTTGGTAGGACTGCGATTGGCAGAGGTATTTAAATGAGGCCTCCATAAAATTGTTACTCTCCACCCCACCCCCACTCCTCTTTAAATTCTGTTTCAGTCATTACCCAGGGACCGGATACAGAGATTCCTATGGGGAGTTCTAATGGGTCGATTCAATTTCAACGGGATGACGCCACTTAGCCAAGCATTAAGAGCTATAGCTCCGGGAAAGCAAACGAGGCGGGGGGGGGGGGGG